AAGAGATTGCAGAAAATGCAAAATGCCGTACTTCACAGACATATATATATATACGTTTTTTTAGTGAGTAGACTGAAATAATGCATGACAAAACACCAAATTGTAGCTCTATATTTCGACCCAAATTGTAGCTCTTTATTTTCGAACCTTAGGCTAACTACAGCAAACGTCGTGAACTTTGCACGGCGCGCCAATCTCTATAATCGACTCTACAAATATAAACAACTGAGCAATCAACAAACTCAAAAACAAGGAAAATTCTTCGAGTGAAACCTAATGGGAATCTAAAAAAAAGTTTTTTTGCGATCATAGTTAATAGAAAATTAAATTGAAATTGGAGAAGTTGGAATAGTTAAACTTTGCAGTAKTCTAGTTCACGTAGCATGTCGACCTGCTCAAAATAATCAATCTATGCTTGACCCTACTGATTATTCAACCTCATAACAAGCTTTTTATGTACCATTTGGCAACACAAAATTTAAAAAAATACTCAAAAAAAAAGAACATCAAAATTATGACCAGTTTTTTCATAAAAAAGTGTTTTCCTGGCACTAATATTATAAAAAGCTAGACATGCAAGCTCACAATATTTGTTGCCCGATAAGTGCATGCTTCGCTGTCCTCGTTTAACTTATTTTTAACTGCGGAAAGGGCTATTAAATGGAATTGTAGTGTTTCACGGTCTGTGTATTCATATAGTTGTGTTTTCATGTTCTCTCTGCGATGGTAGATCCGTTGCGGCTGTTCTGATGGCTTCACACGGCATATGCCTTCGCATCTCGGATCATAATCAACAGCCCGCAGGGACTTTTTGTTGTCTTGTTTGGCAATCTAGATCACCCTCCTGGGYCGCGATTGGTCGTAAAGTAACCAATGAGCCGAGCCCACAACTCTAAATTTTAGAACTACCCATTTAGAACACGCGAACCAGGTGGGCAGACAATACCGTCTCGAGGACAACATGAGGTTAGAGGAATGCGGAAATAATTTAGACAATTAGATAATTTAGATAATTTGTTCATCGGAATGCATGCATAAAGATGTAACTTTTGCGGAATCCAGACACATGCAGATTCAAACAGATTTTTCGATATACATTTCCCCTTTTTGCAGCATCTCATCGTAGATTGAAGCAGCTAATGCTATCGAGTTGTGATAGAGTGACTGGTTTTCGGAAAATCGAAGATCATTCGGGTGTGAATCGGTTCTCATTTACATGCGAATAAAATAGGATCTAGGAAATAGAATTTACATTAAAGGTAAATAAGGTTTTTGGAAATAGATATCTGTGTGTTGTYATGAATCAGTCTACGAACCCTCGACCTTTTTGCGACWATACATTCTTTCACGAGGTGGCTACGACTTTTTATCGATTGTTATGCGGTTTCCATGTGCTTTTCGTTCTTCGCACTGTTYTAYTTTTCATACAATGTTTTTATCCTATTTTACCACAAGAATCGGGCACAGTTTTCTACGCCGCTTTGAAAAAGTGTTCGCTGGAGATCTTTTCAGGATTTCTGACAATTTATGGTTTGTCTTTGCGTGCACAAAACAGCGATCCGCGGTATGAAARCGCAGATCATGGCAATCAGACAAAATTGTTAAAATGGCCTTTTTAAAACAGAGAAGCTGCATGCAGTCGTTGACTGCGTATTTTTTAACGAAGGCATGCGGAGAGAAGCTCGATTAGAAGTTTGTATCTCTAGTGTTTACTTTCGAAGACTGATCAACAGTTGATTACTAGGCTTCGAACCAAGATACTAGTCAGTAAAAAAAGCGATGACGTTTGAAAATTCCATTGCAAGATGCTATGTATACATCTCTAACTAAAGCTATTTGATTTTATACAAAATTCAATACTTTTAATCTTCTAGACTTCAGCCGCGGACAGTTAATGTTGTTATTACTGCTTGTTGAACGACTTTAATCACTCTGCATGACCCTAACAAACTTGAACCTATCTTGTTATCAATCAAGGCAACGTCGTTGGGTAAAAAGTATCGCCCCATCCATAGCCTTATAATACAAGCAGTTACAAGTTTTCACACGTCTGCAGCTGTTGAACTGGCGACTGGTTAAACTAACGTTTGTGTGTCGATGCATTTTTCAGTAACGTGCATGCATGACATGTCACCTTCCTTTTCCTGGTGRCCGCACTAAAATACTAAAAAAGATGAACCCATTTACTTACTTGAATAATCGAGAGAAGTCAAGAGAAAGAATAAGACATGCAACGACTTCATTTCCAACCAATGCGTTGTTTTTAGCGGTTGATACAATGTTCTAATGTACTTGGAATTGAAGCATGAACTTGAATAAGGTGCACATCAGCAGTTTTTATTGCACACGTGCGAAAGTGTCACACAATAAACGAATATGATTGGCTATCTACTAGACCCTCAGCATTCAATTAGTGTGGATATCCGAGCGCGAGAACATCAACTTTTGGCTTAAAAGTTGATACCTGTAAAAATGGATAAGACTATGTATACAGTTCACCTAGGTGTTGGAAATCATGTCGGTTATGGCTTTATTTGAAGATGAATGGCGATAAAGAATATGTGACAATTATCGACCTTTTTGATTCTACCAACTTGTTAGATGAACTTGTAACACATAGCCAATTATATGACTGTTTAAATTATAAGCATGTTTTGTGAAAAAAGAAGGCAGTCTTACCTGTTCCACTGGAAAAAAAACGCGCGCTTTAAAGGTTGTAAATTTGATGTAAATTTATAAAATAACTTTGATATTACGCGCGCTCTGATTGGCCAAAAAGCCGTGTTTGATGAGAGTATAATGCACGGAAAAACTGTTTTTTATTCCTTAAATGTAGACTGATTCCAAGTCGTAGTATTCGCTCGTCGATTTTTCGGTTTGTCGCTCAAACAAGCGTCTGCCCGGGAACGAAAAAAAAGAAAGAGCGACCTGACAGACTGGTGGAATCAGTCTAGTAAATATGATGCAAGTGTCCCGAAAATTCTGTAAATTTATGGAAATCATTCATCAAATTTACAGAATTTTGGACACTTACATCATATATTTACGTCAAATTTACAACCTTTAAAGCGCGCGATTTTTTCCAGTGTTCTATCAGATCAATACCACTAAGGTGCTTTATTGCGGGTTTATTGACAGCGTCGGTCCTGGGTAAGAAAAAAGGCGACGTCACAGTATTCGCACTGTTGGGCTTTAAACAAGGCTTGTTGATACTAACGAGAAAAGCCAACTAAATGGAGCTGATTTATCTGTGTTAAATATATGAGAAGTCTTACATTTGGCAGTTACCGCCTTCACGGAAGAACGAGTACCTTTCATACTGGGTTCCTCAGTGCAACGTTCTGGGTCCATTGCTGTCCATTTCTGAAAATTAATGGCTAAACTAATTGTCTTAACCTCTGCAATATATACTTGTTTTTTTTTTCTGATGACACAACAGCCCTACTTTCAGATTCATTATGATTTCAGCAATTTTGAAAGCTAAACCGAATGATGCTGTGTCATGAATACACTAAAACAAAAACTTTGAATTTTGTTAAACTGTCAAAATCAAAAGTAGTTGATCAATTTTAGTTTAAAGAAAATTGAATCAATGAACTTATATGCTGATGCATGCAGCAATCAATAGTTCACTATAACTGGAATGGGCTGCAGATTGCTACGATAAAGGCACAGGCAGACCATCCATTTCAAGCTTAATGTTATGGCAAGGCAGCAAAGAGTGTTTCGCGGGGTGCAAAGCACTTGAAATTAGGAATCGTTTTCACCGTTGTTGTTCGTTTTCATATATCTTCTACATTTTCTTTAAATCTCTCCTGATCTGTATTTTTTATTCTAGCGTTACTTTGTATTTTCATGTTCATTTTGATCTTTGTTGATGAGAGGGCATCTCGTGAAACATAAAATTTATTATGATGCTTATCATTATTATTCAACATTGTCATTATTCTTATTCTTATCAATCATTATTCTTATATTCCTATTTTTATTATTATATAAATACATCAAGTTATTAATAACCTTTAGTTCTGTTTGGATATTTTGATATATGAATAGGAATTAATGACTTAATATAATGGAGTTGCAAAAATAGCTGTATTGAAAGTAATATTATCACCGTACCACTGAGCCCACAATACGCTTGAAAAGAGCACACATTGTTATGAAAACTTTTGTCCCCTCGGTACTTWTATTGTATCTCTGCATGTAGGCTATTCATGTGATATTCCACTGTTCTAGACGCTGAAGAATTTGAAACGACAATGTCTAAAATACATATGAGTCACGGTTCCCCGGCAAGCTTGCCATTGGCACAAGCGGAGGCATTTTGTGCCTCACAGTTTCGTCTCAAAACCTTGAACTCACACAGACACTGGATTATTTTTCAGACGTTTTCTTTTTTGCTTGATGATTTACTTTTATTTTTTCTTTTAAATTATGAAGTGTTATGTGGTTTAGAATTTCGCTAATGTGTTGCATTAGAATTTTCCGTTTTTATGACTAGGCAATACTGATATCACCATTTTTCCTGGCTAGGGTCATACAAAGTAAGATCTAAACCTCCCAGATATTGCCTACCTGAGACTGCGTGCAGGCGTTCCTCGCGGAACACCTCCACGCAGGCTATGCAAACTTCAACTGCTTATAATGTCATATTGAGCCCTTCACACAAATCAAATGCTTAACTAGCAAGTTCTCTATCATTATCGGTTCAAAGTGCATGAGAATTGAGAAACAAGCATTTCTCTTTTTTCTTTTAAATGATTAAGTGTTATGTGATTTTAGAAGTGGGCTCGTGTGTTGCATTAGAATTTTCCGTTTTTATGACTAGGCAATACTGATATCACCATTTTTCCTGGCTAGGGTCATACAAAGTAAGATCTAAACCTCCCAGATAKTGCCTACCTGAGACTGCGTGCAGGCGTTCCTCGTTGGGGGCGGAACACCTCCACGCAGGCTATGCAAACTTCAACTGCTTATAATGTCATATTGAGCCCTTCACACAAATCAAATGCTTAACTAGCAAGTTCTCTATCATTATCGGTTCAAAGTACATGAGAATTGAGAAACAGGCATCGGTACAACGACCATCTATGAAATTCTAATGAATGAAACTCGAGCCTTTTTACCTTGTCTAATCTTTTTCCTTTCTTAATTATTCTTCTTCCAATACATCAGTAACTTTTTTTATACCATAAGCATGTTTTCATTGCTGATGGTGGAGACGAGAATATATGATATATGATTATTAGAAATGTCTTACTTGCAATAAGAAGATTATTGTCAAGAAGAACTTGCGCAGTAAACTCAAATCTATACTCTAAACTGACTGAATAGTTTTCAACTGCGGCAACGATACATAGCTGATATGTTGAACTTGTTGAAGCATGGGTTACTTTAAGACTAGTTTTGCTTACATTTCAGTCACTGCAGTCAGATATTTGATAACTTTTCCAGCATTTGCCACACAAGTGAAGAGTTTTATTGAAAGATTTTCAATTTAAAAGTGAGAAAAAAATCAGTTTGTTTCTTAGTGAAGAGGGAATTCGTTTCGTCGAGTTGAATATTGAGTTCGAGTTCGAGTTGGACTTCGAGTTGAACATCGAGTCAGTCAAATACATTACTTTTTAAGTAAAACAAAACAAATCTTATACTTCTTGTATCATTACACGATCCTACAATTATGGAGATTACTAAACATGAATGTAATTTCTCCTGCTTGCAGTCTCCCTACGAAACTTCTAAAGTAAGAATTAGGGGCACACTTCGCTTTGTTTCTAGTAAGACTAGTAAGGGAGGTAGCCATGACAAAGGAATAACTTTAACTTTAACTATATTTTCTTTTTCTTTTTTTTTCTTTGTGAAAGATGTTTGGTCGGGCCATATAATTTCCGTTTGCCCTTTACTYGAACCACTAAATCTAAGTAAATGTTTACAAAAGGTGATTTATAACAATTGTACAGTGACACGTACAAAGACACGCCATGCACTTTTGGTCAAGTGTACAACTGTATTCGTCCAGTCATTCCTATAGGAATAAAGCAGGGTTACTAATGATACATTAATGTCGTAATCATAACCCTCAATCAAACTCAAACTGTGGTACAATTATGAAACAGTATATTTTGTCCGTCTACCTACGCACATCAGACGTTCGACGTGTCGAGGCCTGTCCGTTACGCACCAAAAACACAATGATCATTAGGCAAAACATCATGTCAAAATCAACTTCAATTGGGGGGATTTTATCCGTTTTTATCAAGCCAGTGTATTATGTTTTCAATCAATAGACTGTTCTCCCACGGAGATATGATTCCAAGATTTTATCTAGGCTGGCTGGTATTCAGAAAAAGGCTACTATGTAATTTAATTATAATTACAAACTCATTGCATGTAGCTTTGATAAAACGAAGTTAATTGACTGATGATAGTTTTTGATTGTAGACTTGTAATAGAATGTATGAGCMGTTCAAACGAATTATCAGATATGTATACTGGAAAATTGTACCTTTTTACAAGTTCTAATGACTATCGTTTTTTAAACGAAAATACTTTTGGCATATTGTTGTTTCGTTACGTTAATCAAATTGTACTTTAATGCCATCACATGTTTTTCAGCATTATATAATGTGAGTRTAAAAAAAAATTATGTACGTGAAAAAAGACGACAAAAATACCCTTAAAAAAGCTTTATTTTCAATGATGAGGTTCAGTCTTATAAGTACCCCTCTTGAACTTGACTTCTAAAGCAAATTTTTTTAAACAAACACTTTGCTGTTAAAATCGGATAAATTATCTTCTAATTTACATTGCTTTATTTCCTTGATATTCTTTCATCCAAACCGTCCAGTAGAA